CCGCCCCCCCCCCCCCCCCCGTCATCGGTAAGTACAGATTCGTCGGGGGATTAAACATTTAAGCCTATATCTAATATTTGCCTGAATAGGACAGGCCTACAAATTATTCGTTTTGACAAAATCACAATCCTTAGGTCAAGATGCCCTGTATAAGCCTGTGGCAGCATATGTATTTTCAAAAAATTGATCAATTATGGGGAGGAGGGTCACTGCCACGCAAAAACCATGGACTTGCACCAATGGGGAACGGAAAGAATCATATAGTCGGTCACTACAACAATTGGTCGGTGGTTCCAGTCTCCAGACAGAATGCCTGCTCAATTAAGGCCTAGAAAAAATATGAATTTAACTTACAATGAAAGCGAACATTCCTAGGAACTCAGAGAAAAATTTTCTGGAACATCGCCATTTACAGCAAGAAGTACTGTAAATTTTCCTACTGTATTTCTCGTACCACAAAGCCATTTTAGTAGTTAGCCCGAAAAACCTATCGCCTCTTCTTAAGGGTAGGAAATTTTGTGAACAGGATTTTTATCTTGCAATTTGGCTGGTGCTGTACTTGACCTTGTCTGTCGAGGGGCGTGGTTTCATAGTTTTCATCAAATAAGTTTGATCACTCAGACGTCGTGTTATCGCCGTTTTTATTTGACCCGTGATTCAGTAGTTCTGTGCATGGAAGAGCTCGGAAGGGAACATTATAGAATAGGGGTAGGTTTAAGGTTAAGATTAGGGGTGAAAACAGATTAAATTATTTAACATTTCTTAAACTAAGAAAATAATTACAAAAATATTTGTTCGGTATTTACGTTTATAGCTTTGATCTTCTTAATTCAAATTGTATTTACAATTTCAATAAAACGTTTTGACATTAACTTTCAAATTGGTGCGCGAGCTCATTTCTCTTGAATTCACGTTCAACATGGAAGCGGTTGGCGGCGCAGCGGTAACGGTTTGGTTTCAATTCCTCGCTGTGCGTTTCGCTTGTGTCCTTGAGCAGGTACTTTATCTACATTGCTTCTCTCCACCTAAGAGTATAAATAGGTAGGCCTACCCCTGCTGGTGCTACTACGCCAATATATCAGCAACATTTAAGCATGTGGACCCAATGACCAAAGGACAACAAATCGCTTTGTAAACTAACGGAATAGGCGCTATATAAATACTAAAATAACAAATAACTACACTGATAAATAATTACATTTCGTTATATCTATTTTTATATTCCACTTACTTAGATATTTGCTTTCAGTATTTTGTTAATTTTGTTTCATTTTATTATAACTGACCTTTTTTATTTATAATATTGTATCTATGTTAAACTGGATGAGTTAGGTTCACAGACTTTGTGTTATAGTGATTTAGTTCGCTTTTGTGTTCCTACAAACTCATTCAATTTATTGTACTTGTATTTTTTATGTATTCCACCATTGCATTGTACTTTGTTTGTTTGTGTTTTTTTTTTTGTTTTTTTTTTACACCGTCACATTTTGCCACTACAACGTTCAAACTTTCGGCCTAATTATAATATCAGTGAAGCTACAATATAAGAGACACTGAGCGATCAGTGAAATTTCACAAAATTGCTAGATTATCGCTGAATATGTCGGGAAGTTAACGGTAAAAAAATATATAATTTGGGATAAAATAAAGGAACAATACAATCGGACGAGTACAAGAGAAGATATGAACACAAACGTTTGAAATATCAGTAATTTTAGTTGACAGTTTTTACTTTATAGCCACCAATCTTTTCGTTATTCCGAATAGCTCTAGCATAGTACGTCTTAGGTTCCACAGCCCTTCTTTACACGAAGTTGACACTATCTTTGGTAAAAAATAAATAAAATAAAAATTATGTAAAGAAGAGTTGAAAAAACGATCAGAAATTCAGCAAGATACAATGTACAAAAGTAACATTTCCTACTTAGTGTTATTTAGAACCCTAATTACTTTGGGGTATAAGCTATTTTTGTATCTGCCCTTACTGACCTTTAATGATCGAAAACTTCGACCACTGCGCATCAATTGGAACTTCATGGATATATAAATACCGAGTAATTTGAATTCCTCAACAAAGTCAACGGGAAATCATTAATTTATAGGGTATTTTGGATTTAGCTTTTCAAATGTCACTATACATTCAAGTAAAGATTGTTAACTGCTGCACCAGTCGACAACATCTTTAACTTGGTTGGTAATTTTACTCATCATTGTCTTGAATAATTCCTACAATAGTGGTGTCTTCTGCGAACCTAGCTCAGTATGTGGCAGAAGAACGATACACAATCATACAGTGGCGTAGAGCTGCCAGCAATGCAGCCATGGCAAACCACTGTGTCCCAGAGCTATTAGGACGGACCTAGAAACACACATTTAAAAATAAAATAATTTTCAACTCCTCTAAAAAATATTTAGGTTTTTAGATAAGTAATTATTGATTACTGTGTTCACTTCAATTGTTTAATTGCAATTGTTTAAATTTACGTGCCACCATTGTTTATATTAGTTTAACCTTAGTTTAACTGCTTAGGCGCCTCTTGAAATACGGTACGTACTTACGAAGGTTCCGATTGTCATTCCTAGCCTAAACCATTAGGGGTAGTGAGTAAAAAGATAAGAAGCACTTCTTAAGATGCATGTTCTGAAAACATGAATCAGTATATTGTACTCAGTTCTAAAATGTTCATTTTTTAAATTCAAAATACGGCTCCTGAAAATTTGAAACGTCGGAGCTTTCGGTGATTCCCCAATCCCACCAGAGAATACCGTATTCAGTAACGGATGAGACAACTATACACGGAGATAATTATCGAAATGCACGCCATCGTATCGGGATTCAATATTTCGACATTAATATGTCATCATGCAGGAATTGCCTGTTATGTAATGTACAGTCAACCGAACACTGTTGCAGCCAAGCGAATGCTTACTGCTCATGAACCATGTAAATGAAAACAACTACCGAATAGGCTTGCCCTGAAAACAGCAGTGGTTCCAGAAGCAGTGCCGACATAATGTCTGCAGGGGTGGCGCCAGCGGGGGCCGGGGCCTCCGTCGGGGAGATCTTCCCCCCCCCCCCATAGGAAAATAAGCCTTTTGAAACCCCTAAATTGTCAAAATATTCGGGGGCTTCGCCCCTGGACCACTTTCA